GATGCAAGTTTACCAACATGTCACAGTCAATGTATATATTTTGAGTATATATTTAGAATAATTTATTTTGACTTTTATTAGTAATATAGTTGTTTTTAAAAATGCTTGACTGTTGATTAATCTCACACACAACCAATTGTTTAAAGTAAATGCAAGTATTTTATTTAGCAAAAGCGAAATATCACAGTACTCTAGTGTAGCAAACATAAAGTTAAAACATAAAAGCAGCCATCACAGCAACACAGGGATCCAGAAATGTAGTCACTGCACATCTCTCTGTCGTCCCCTCAGTTTCAGTGCACTGTCATGTTTGATGGCTGCATGTCTTTATCATAAGCTACAGCTACACTTAAACTTGAGCTCTACAATAGTTGTAAACAGCATACACTGTACACAAGACACGATTTAGCTGCATACAAGTCAACAAAACAACATATGCCTGGTAGCGAAAATCCTGTACATCCTCCATGTTCACATGTGGCTTGCTTCCGTGAAAACAAAGGCAAAGCATTCTTCATTCCCGTGAAGAATAACCAGTTAGGAAAAGAGACATCATAACGAAGAGAGCTAATCAGGAAAGGGTCACGAGCTAAGTACGAACCAATCAGAGTTCACTGATGTAGGCGTAACAAAATGATTACATTTATGAGCATTCACACGAATGCGTTTACAGAACAATTAAATGTCGGAGAGGGGTGAATTTTTTTCTTCGTTACTGGGAAAAAAAGATCCGTGGTAGTTAGGACAGAAGGCTAAATGTTAGAAAATTTTTGCGTTACTAAATGAAAACGCATAAGTGCGAATGCGCCCTAAAGGTTGAATTAGCTAATTAAGCATTACATTGTTGACCCTCTAGACCTCCATCACTTCAGACAGTCTGGCTACACAACCTCCTCATGTGCACATTCAAGGTCAAAATCTGCCCATTCAAAGGGTTTTCTTTCAATTCTTAAGAACTGATTTAATTATTACACCCCAAGTTTCACAGCTCCAATTCGACAGTTAATATTAATTTTAAAACTTGCTTTCAACATGACAAAGGAACATAAAAAAGCTTCTTTACAATTTATGTAAATTGTACAAGAATACTATATGCTGTACTGCAAATATATTTTTCCATACACTATATTTAGGTTTGTTGTAGAATTTTTAACGAACCAATTTGGTACAAATCAACAATAAATCCCCACTGTTTCTATTTTTTGTGTCTCAGTCCTAACTTCCACAATTAACATAACTTTACAAATGCCTACAAGAAAATCGCAGGTGAGTCCAGAACATCCAGTCGACCTCTTAGCATTTTTCGCTGCTCATAAATTATGAATTCCCTCATGCTCGTTAGTGGGCTCACTAATCGTTCTGCGAGTGATGTAGCCCCTCCTTAAAATGAGTGACTGTGGCCTACTGCTCAAGCTTCGTTTAATTTCAGCAGCGCATTGTCGGCTCGTTTTAACAGCTGCTGCTTGCGAGGGTGATCGAGCCTGACTGTTAGCATGCTAAAGCTGTCTGCTTGACAAGTAGTTCCACCATAATCGTAATTTTTAATCGTTGAGCTTTTGCCAGGTTTATCGCATGTCATGAATGGTTTTGGATAGTGGAGCAGAGGTGTAGGCCGGAAATATTCCGGACTCCTCGTCCGACAGGAGACAGGAGAGCTACCGTCACACATGTTCGATAACAAGAAGTATTATGGTGTGGATTCCTGTGAGAGGCAGCAGCTCATGGCTGAAACGGACGCTCATATTATGGGCTGCATGAGGGACAGGAATTCACCGGGGAACAGCCAAAAATGGCATGAGATACAGGACCACCCGGCACGGGCCAAATCGCAGACAACTATTTCATAGAGATATCCATGAGCAAAAACGTCTAATTATCCAGCCCAGCTGTGACAGGTGATTCATATCAGACCTATCACAGAAATGGAGAAAATGAGCTACAAACAACAGCCAATACTTTCAACGAGCTCCGGTAAGCTAATTGAGTTCGATGAGCAAATTGGAAAAGACCTGCACGACCCATACAGAAGACCCGCGCGGCTTAGGGGACCTGCGTTCTCCAGGGAGAGTATTTACTTGCCTGCCATCTCTGGGGCTGGGCCTCACAGTGCCCGGCAGGTAATGAAATTCCGCCTCCCTCGCAGCGGCCGGGAACTCATATGACAATTACCTGCGCTACGGCGAGAGGAAGAGTGAGAGAACGCAAAAAGAAGGGCGATGATAATCCAAGCTTGAGGAGCGCCGTCTGTTATATGCTCATACAGGAGAGGACTTCAGAAGTCTGAACACCTTCCACGCCAGTGCTGGCCGGTGATTGGGGTGCATGTAGTTAAAATGACATAAAAACATTACTGTTTTCGTTATTTCCTTCAAAGCTCTAATGCTTCGTTTCACTTTCGGACAGTACTGCCCTTTGGACTGACAAAGAAAAACAATAAGTAGCTTCTGAAAACATTTCCTTTCTTCATGGAACATCTCTTGCCATTACATTTCAGCTGCAATAAGGCCTAATAATTTCGACATCAATAAAACATAAGCACATTGCTGCATAAGTTATGAAGCACAACGCATTCCATTTTTGCTGTTGCCTTTCGCTGTGAGCGCATGGATTGCCGTTACTGCGTGATCGAGAATCTGGAGAGCTTCCGTCTCATAAGTGATCAACATAGATCCAGGTAGGAGCAGCACTGATCTGAAACCATCTGTATTCCGAAACTCCTCTGTATCCTGAAAACCTGGCTTGTATAAATAAAAGGATTAATCTCATAAAGGCCACATCTGTTGGCTCTTGCAGGCTCACTGTATGTTTTCCTGGTACATGAGCACCTTGTTGGAAATCAATTCACAGACTGAACACCATATGTTTCCCCTCTCCTCTTTCTGGTCTGCAACATTTCAGACATCACACAAAATTTTACATGATATGAACGCAACATGAGATTTATGGGTAAATTTGACACAAACTTTGGCATTCCAATTGGCAGTGATGAAAATTTCTACCACATATATTAATATTATATATGACATTCTATACATTTTTATTCTGTTTATTACTGTTCTGTTTATTACCAACGAGATTGAAATTTCATATGTGTATGATCCATGCACAGCTGAAGATGACAATAAAGATACTTTACTTGTCTTTGACTCAACTCATAAACGGCATATGATACATTAAAAATATATCAAATAAGCTACATTGTATAAATTCTCTAGTTATACTTCACTGATACTTAGTGGCCTTGATGATTCATCCATCTGTATTACCTGTTTCGTAAGGCCGGAAACAGGCACGATACACAGCAAAAACTAGAGCATTAGAAAACAGAACAGCTCCTCACTCTGGCACAAAGTTTTCACCGTACTGCATTTGACCTGGGGGTTTGTCTTACGAGTGGATTCCCAAAGGAAAAAAAAAGACAAGCTTGTGGGGAGATAAAAATAAAAAGATCAATGAACCAGCATCAATAAGCGAACACCAAAAGGTTTTCAATGGGTTGCAGTCTTCAGGAACAAAAATGTTACTTGTGACACACTTTTACTGTGTGTTCCCTTACCCCAGAACAGAGAATACCAAGAGAAGACCAAGTTCAGATGACTAGTTCGGCTACAAACAGGAGAAAACATCTACAAACATTTACGGAATGCTAATATTTGAGACATAGACCACATTTCTTGGGACCCAAATATCATACTCAGCATTTACAGTTTGATATCACTATTTGGCTTTTACCTCATTTGTTCTCAATGACAGTCGACCGAGGGTTAACAACACATGTATACAGGGAGGTTCACATTCGACTAGTTCTTATGTACTTTCTTGTCAAGTATGATGTAGTCAAACTGGGTGATAACTTGATCATTCCTCCCACCATAGCGGTAGAGCACAAGAGGCTTGCAGTTTGGCATGTGACGAGATACCCAGTTCAACAGACCGCGATGCTGACTAAAGCTTTGGGCGGAAAATCACTCAATGTACAGCAGAAACCTGAATTTACACTTTTGGCAAAAATGTTACATTGCAATCTAGATTCCTGTCTTGCTAGGGGCATCTGGCTTCATAGTACAGAAAAAAACACTCATTAGTGTACTGGCTTCATAACACAAACATAACCTCATCTGTGTACTCCTGGCTTCACAATAGAGACTAAATACTCATCTGTGTACTCCTGGCTTCACAATAGAGACTAAATACTCATCTTTCTGCTCCGGGCTTCATAATACAGATTAAATACTCATCTGTGTATTCCTGGTTTCATAAAACAGACTAAATAGTCATCTGTTTATTCCTGGCTTCATAATACAGACTAAATACTCATCTGTGTACTCCTTGCTTCATAATGCAGAATAAATACTCATCTGTGTACTCCTTGCTTCATAATGCAGAATAAATACTCATCTGTGTACTCCTGGCTTCATAATACAGACTAAATACTCATATGTGTACTCCTGGCTTCATAATGCAGAATAAATACTCATATGTGTACTCCTGGCTTCATAATACAGAATAAATACTCATCTGTGTACTCCTAGCTTCATAATGCAGAATAAATACTCATATGTGTACTTTAACACAGAAACATGCACAGGAATGAATATGAGACAGGTCCTGAGAAGTGAATTCCGTCAGATAAATCGACTCCACGCCTGCAATTCAAAAGCAGCAGACCCTATAACTGGACCGTACAGTTGTACTGGCCACCTTCCCATCCCACAGTCCCGGACCTCAGAACTTCCAGCAATCCCAGCTCCCAGTTACCTCCGGCACACAGCCCTCACGCGACAGCAGCCATCCCCGCAGAGCGTGGGCATCCCGGCGAGTTCGGGTCGCCTGAAACTTCAGGTCTCTCCCACACCCTGCTGATTCGCCCACCCATTCACACCCCACCCACACTCTTACTGTCTGTCAAGCACAGCAAAGAAATAAAAGGCAATAAAAGCAGAAGAAGATCCATCTCCTGCCTGTAGAACCTGAGAGAGTCGCAGTGGTGAGGGACTCACCTGCACCGCTGCTGCTGCCGTTGCTCCCGCTGTAGTGATGAGGGGGACGGAGGGACCGGCACCGGAGGCAGCAGCCGTGTGCTGGAGCGCCGCTCTTTGCTCTCTTTTCACGGAGTGGGATGCTCCGGCTGGAGGAGGTGGTGCTCCCCCGCCTAATGACATCTGCTGCTCTCTTTAAACCTATTGGCTGACGGGAATGATTCCCCACTTATCCCAGCCCGCTGTCTCACAATGAGTCTGCCCACACAACCCCCCCCCCATCCGCCTGCTGCCTTCTTTTCACATTTCTCCTCCCTCTCTCTCTCTCTCTCTCTCACTCTCTCTCTCTTTTTAACTCTCTTTCATACAATTCGATCTTGCACATCCCTCGCATAATTCCATGGACAAAATTGCTTCAACCAGATGCCCCATACTACCTCCCCCTCTGGGTCCAGGCTGGGGCAACCCCCCCCCCCCCCCCGATGCCCGGCTGGTTCCAGTCCACCTACCCCGTCGTGAGGTTCTCCACTGTTTGCAGTTCCTCACCTGAGCTTCATCTCTTCCCTGGTCAGTCAGCCATCCTTCTGCATCTGGCACATCTCCTCACTTCTCTATATGTCCCAAATCTCTTATCATTTCTTGAATCTGCACATTTTCTTTAAGAGGCTGCCTTGGAATTTCTGTCATAAAAAAATAGAAAATTAGATAGATGCTGGTCCGAGCCACATCATCATCCATCATCCATCTATCCATCTTCCAATCACTTATGTTAGGAATGGGAAGAAACTCCTCGTAATGTGTGTAGGAAATGACAGAATATTATCCTTGATAATAAGGATTTTGTGCCGTTTGCTTAAATTACCCACAAAAGAGGTGTTCTCCTCACATTTTTTAAGCTTTTAGGGTAATTTATAGCTTTACCCTGTCTGTCAATTTTATTTTGTTTTGTTTTAAGTAGATCATCAGCTCTTAATTTGATAGTCTTATTCCCTGGAAAGACTCCCAGAACATTAGAAAAGTCTAAAAATGAAGGCAGACCATGTAGTGAAACGATTTTCAGGATTACCTTTAACCTAAACCAAAACCATCTTAAGTTTTATTCTGGTTGATCCCAAGATAATCACTTGCAAATCCATGCATTTGTAACTCCACGGAATCTCTTTAGATTGGGAGTTTAATACATACTGTCATCAGGTTTCAGTCTGCAGGACTTCGGTGGCTGGAGAACGCTACGCTTTAAATTTTTAAAAAGGGAAATCAACGAACACTTCAGTCAGGTCTATACTTCCACCATCTTTTACTGACCTCCTGTCTCCACGATTGTGATTTCTTTGAGGCTCAGGATAAGCCTAATTGCTGTCTTTCATAGGTTTTACTCTAAAGCTTTGAATATCAATATTTTTGTAGTAGAATGACCACATCTGGACACACATTTCAGAGGCTCTCTGAGACATGGCTGTGGATCACGTTTTATGCCCTGTGGATATTATGGGAAAACTTCACTTCATTTTTCTGGTCCTTTTAGAATATTTTGTCTGATTCTTGCTAATGGAAAAAAAAATGCGGGTCTAAAGATGTACATTTTAATGAAGCATCTTTTATTGATTCTCTGGGCTTGTGGTATTTAGAGGCTTTTGATTGGATGGAAATAAATGGCTGCTACCATGATTTCAGTGAGGGAGATATTTACCGATTCTTACCAGGTTACAGATGTCGCACCCTGATAAATTTGCCATTGCATGAATGACACAGCGTGTAACCAGTTCCTGATGTCTTCTTATGCATCACAAGCAGCTGCGTTAAGCCTTTTATCAGTAGAAACACACACACACACACACACACAGACAATATGTTCAAAAATAATTCAGAAACGTTAGGAGAGGTTGAATCGTGGACAGAATTATATTGACAGCTCAGTCATCTCTAATTAAAATTTCAGCTATAAGCCATCATTGGAGGGACAGGAGCTTGGGGTGGGGGCAGGAGGGGGGGGGGGGGTGCAAGGGCAGGATTGAAAACATATAAGTATAAGGCATTTAACTGATTGCCATTATCCCCAAGTGATAAGAATAAATAAAGGATTTTGATTATAATCCTGAATGGCAGCTTCTCTTCTTTCCAGATGCTTTTAGTTACATTTATTCTGCAAACAAACCATCAGCTCAGTGCACATGCCTCATAATCCACACAAAAGTGGAAGAAATTAAATTAAAATGAAATTGAACATTTTAAAGGTAGCTGTTCCTAAAATGTACTGTTGGGTAATTCTTTCATGTCAAAAATCAGTCATCAGAAATGAAAAAGATCATCTTTTAACATTGATGCATCAGTTATTTCATTGATGGAATTACTTGTATTTGCCCTGAATTTTTTACAAATTAATAATACAAACAAGAGACTCATAAAAATAGTACAGCAAAAAAAAAGGATGTTGCTTCTGTGAGACGTCCTCTGCCTGTACTGTAGTTACGTGTCTTCGAAGAGACTGCTTGATCTTTTGATTGTTTCTCCCTGCTTGCCCAGACTAGGGTAATTGCCAGTTGCAAAGAGTTCCTTGAACCCTTGCCACTCATCCCCGCCATCCATCTGCGCACGACCATCTTCGTCAGCCAGGAAAATGTTTCTCTTATAATTGGAAAAAAAGATTTTTCAGCTCGAGCTATTGCTCTCCATGTCCACAGCTTTTCCAACAATCAGGGCAATTGTAATGCTGTGCAGTACACAGTGGGGGATTAAGATATAAGCTGAGGAAATAATTAACAAGAGGAACAGTATGTCAGGTTGGAGCAGTTGTATTACAAATTAAGGAATAAAGCTGCTTGAATTTTGCCTAATAAATCCAGTCTGGCAGAGTATCTGCTGATAGCCACAAAGCCACTTACTACTGGTCCTGGTTGGGAGACATTTGTCCTCTGATGGGTAACATGCATATGACTACAATTAGAACATCACCTACTGTCCCACCTTTACCATAATGAATTCTAGGTATTGAAGAGTCTGCCTCTTCACTAACTAAAACCTACGTTTTCCCAGTGCAGTAACACCACGCTTACCGTCAGCAAGCTAAGCACAAACTCAAACCACACACCAGGGAAAAAATTAGAACTAAATGTAAAACTCAAAAAAACATGAAGCCTTTTCACAGAAATTCGAAAAGGTGCAGCAGAGAAATGCGTCAGAGATCGAGATACAATTTTTCAAGACTCTACCATAGAGTCGAACTCACTGAGTTACAAATGCACGATTTTTACTGCACTATTTTTGGAATTTCAAACAGAAAACATTGACTTTCAATAGCCACACAAAGCACTGCTAGAATAAAAAGGAAAAAGCCTAATATTAAAAAAAAACAAAAAAAACAACAGAAGCAGAGGCCATGTGGCTTCGATGACTCAATAAAACAGCAAAACAATACTTTTATCCATAAATGTACATTGATCTTTCATTTGTCAGAAAAATAAGCAGTTTGCAGTGTTGTACTGATGTTATCGCTTTGTAAATATGGCCCCAAATATTTGCCTGATTTAAAGTAAATGATTAACGCTGTAGACTTAATGATTCGAAAACCTCCTGAGTGAATCTTCCATTCCTCCGCTGGCTGTTCAATATCTTGGAAGGCATTATGAGAGATGGGAAGGTTAGAAGTGATACAACCCATTAAAATGCAGAGGGCGCCATGTTGCCCCCAGCAAGTTGCTGAAATGATCTGTGGCAGGTGGGGCAAAGCGCAGAATGCTGAACGACATCTTCTGATCATCTTGTTGGGCGTGTCGCATGTGATCCAGTCTGTTGCATGACTGTTGACATGCACCAAAAGTGTCAAGGTCTTTAACATGCGTAACGACAACTAATCGCACTTCCAGCTGTATTTATATTCAAACAGTAGATGAGTTCGAAGTGCAGCCATAAATCACTCGGTCTGACCTTTCATAGCACTAAAGTGCAGTGAAGCAGATTAGTTCGCTGATAAAAGGGCGCCCTTTCTTTGCCAGGTTTTGGGGATTTAGTGCCTAGTTTGACCAGTGCATACATCTTGGTTTAAAACTAAACAGCTGGTTGATTTTTTTTTTTTTTAATTACATATGGGGTTAGGAATAGCTGCGCTTAACATAACAACTGCCACTGTCACAAGAGAAAAATCACTATACAGTATCTCCACATGCCCAACCACCATGTTTAAAATCATCATCTAATACCCAAAAATGCACAAGGGCATTAACAACATTAAATATATGGGTGCCTGACAGAATAAACATACCAAATAACATTAATTACACTTTGCCGTCTACAAGAGCAACTGTATGCATACACATCCTGTTTATTAAAGCGTTCAGGTTGCATTAACTCCGATCCACAAAATTGCCTCTGGGTAGACATTGGATAGCCAGGTGTTCTTATTTAGGGGCTTATATTTCCAATCAGGATAATTATTATTGAGCTACTCACCTTTATTGTTATGACATATTTTACAAGGCTGTTTTCGTTTAGCACGTGGCACCCTTGTGATCTGCATTTAATTAATTCAATGGTGACTTTCATTTACCTTGCTAAAAAGCTTCCTAAAGATACAGAGAAACACAAGGTGAGATCCCATTACACAGGAGAGGTGTCATTTTAACACTCTTCCTTGAAAGCATCACACTCTCGCTAAGAGTGACAGTCTACAATTTCTTTGCATGAAATATTTCCATTTAAGGGCATATTCACACTTGGCCTGCCTCGTATCGCGTCTGAGTACGATTGTAATAGTGCTAGAATTTGATTTATAACTTGGAAAAAAAAAATCACAGATAGGTATAACAAAATCTCCACAGTGCTTGGTCACCAGCTCTGATCTATGCCTTGAGTAGGTAAACCTGGATGACCCTGTCTGGACCAAGTGAGTCTCAGAGAAAGCTGAAGGATGGCTTGAACACGGATGTCCATTCTGTGTGTCCGTGCCACAACCTATACAGTGACACTATATTTGTCTCCATTTTTCACTTGTCTATCTTGGTCTTTGTCTGACACATATAAAGGTGAGAGCAGGCTTGGGGATCACAGCACAGCATCAGCTGGTGTCTCTGGTGCAACTGGGGGTTAAGGGTCTTGCTCAGGAGCAGAATCGGTTTGCAAGCTCTGAGATTTTAACTGGTGAATTTCTGACTACAGGCATTGAGTCCTAACCTAGTGAGCCACATATGTCCCCCCACCCCATAATATGTGGGGGACAAAAACAACTTCCGAAGGTCTACATGCTTCTCACCCCCTACATTAACCTCACGAAAAGCCAGAGATGAGCAAATACTTGGAGTTGTCTAGTGGTCCTCTAAATGAAACCCTCTGTTAGATCATTCTTCAGAGGTGTTGGATAGCTTTTCACTTAGACATCCACTCATCCTCGGCCAGCCGGAGACTCCTCCGCCACCGAGAGCAGACAGTCACTGCCGGTACCAAGAAGGACACTCCAATCAGCGCCAGGCACTCAAACATCCACAGCTGCTCAAGGAGAAATGGGCCAAACACCTGAAATCATTTCAGGCTTGTTCCTCCGCCAGCAGAATACAAGAGCCGGGACAAGCTGAGAGAGGCCTTGGGTACGATTAGGTGCTGAATTCACCACTTGAGTGGTTTTGACGGCTAGTCCCTGATGGACCCAGACGAACCGAGTTCTCAACACTGGGAGCGGCTATTATATGAG